CAGTTTGCCCCCCTCCATTCACTGGTGTGCCCCCACTGTGTGCATAGAGGGAGCAGTGCCACGGGGTGGGAGCAATGGGGGAGGGGACACCCTAGAATTATCCCTCTGCCCCCAACTCCCCATTGCTGGCCCAGGTGGGGACCCTGGGGATGCCACCACTGTATGTGCCCCTTCAGGGGACACACTGGCCAGGGCACAAGCACCCAGCAGACCCCTCCATGGGATGGGGGGTGGGGCAGAGACCCCCCCAGGGCGTCAGCAGCGGGGACAGTGGCATTTCTCGGTGGAGAGGGGGAGAGGCTGCAGGGTGAGGAGGGGGCAGTGCAGGGCGGCCATGCATGCGCTCCGATTTCCGAGGAGGGCACCCGAAACCTGTTGGGGAGGGGGAGGCGGGGAAGAGGATGGTTGGGAGAAGAGGGGGACGTGGGGATGAAGGATCCGGGGACACACAGAGACCAAGCGGGGCCGGGGGGGCCCTTTGCGGACGCGTCTACCTTGTTCCACCAGCCCCAGGGGGGCCCCGGCGGCGGCCGCCGACATGGTCGGAGGAGCGGTGGTCTGTCTGCCCACTGCGGGCCACGAGAGAGAGAGAGAGGGAGCAGAGCTCCTGTTAGGGGGCTGGTGGGGCTGCAGCTGGGACCCCCAACTTCCACCCCCCCAACGAGAACTCTTAGGGTGCCCATCACCCTGGGCTCAGGCCTGGGGTGGCTGGGGATGCTCCGTCCCCCTCCCCGTGTCGCCCCCCCCCAGCCACCGGAGTGGGGGGGACACACGGGGACCGGGCACTACCTGCTGCTGTGTGTGTGGGGCAGGGGGGACCGGGTCCTGCCCCCACCTTGGCTACCACACGCCCCGTCCTCGCCGATGGGGAAAAAATGGGGGGGTTAAGGGAGGGGGAGGGGAGAAAGAGAGAAAGACAGCGACAGAGAGAGGGGGGCACCAGCCCAGGGGGGAGCTGTGGTCAGGGGTGCTGTGGCCCCTGGCCCCCCCGGCCAGCAGGCGCCCCCCCCTTACCTGAGAAGTTCCTGGTGGCCAACATAGTGGTGAGGATGGCACCCTGTGGGGAAGGGCACAGTGAGGGGAGGGGGCATGGGGGTGAAAAAGGACAGGAGGGGTCCTGGGAGCAGGGGATGGGACAGGTGGAGTGGAATGGGGAGGGAAGTGGGATGATGGGATATGGGGTCCAGGATGAAGGGATGAGTGGTGCAGGGTGGGGCCCACGGGACTGAGAAGTGCGAGAGGGGGCTGCAGGATGAGGGGGCAGGATGGAGCCATGGGACTGGGCAGTGGGATGGAGGGTGCAGGATAGGGGGGCAGCACGAGGGGGGGTAGGCTAGAACCGTGGCATGGGGACACGTACTGTGCAGGGGCAGGATGGGACTGTGCCACACTGGGTGTCACTGGGATGGGACCGCAGCCCACGGCAGAGCAGTGGGCATGGCCAGGGTGGGAACCACTGGAATGGGACCGTACCTCATGGGAACACACCAGATGGCCCTGGTGCGTGCCAGGATGGAAGCGTGCACTGGGCACGGCCAGGACATAGGGCCAGTCCCACAGCAGGCTGGGGAGGGTCCCACAGTGGACAGGGCAGGGTCCCACAGTGGACAGGGCAGGGTCCCACAGCAGGCTGGGCAGGGTCCCGCAGGAGAGCCCCATGGAGACACAGGGTGGTGCCAGGGGGACAAGCACCATCTCCAGCCCATGCTTTACCCCCTCACCTTGAGCTTCCTCCGGGCGTTGAACTTTTTCAGGCACTCCACTGTTTCCTGTCTGTGCATCATGGAGGCCACGGTGGAGCGTTGCTATGGGGGACAGCAGGGTCAGCGCCAGGTGCTACTGGCCACTGGGCCAGAGGGACACGCACCAGTGGGGGACACGTGGCACTTACGCAGACCCACGGGTGCTTGAGGGCCTCGTGAGCTGTGATACGCTTGGCGGGGTTGATGGTCAGCATCTGGTTGATGAGGTTTTTTGCTTCAGGGGTGACCGTGTCCCACTCGGGCGAAGGGAACTGGGGGGAAACAGGGACACAGAAGGCTGACAGCTCTGGAGGGGCAGCCCCATGGCAGCCGTGTCCCTCCGTGTCCACACGTCCCCAACCAGCCACTGAAGGTGTGGCCCAAAGCCATCCCCCCCAGCTTCTGCCCACTGGGATTAGCTGTAGCATCCCTCAGTAGGTTCTGGAGTTAACGGGTTGGCCATCACAGCACGGGGGGTCCTGGTACTGGGAACTTACGTCATAGGCCCCGGCCTTGATCTGTTGGTAGAGTTTGTGCTGGTCCTCATCCCAGAACGGCGGGTAGCCCACCAGGAGGATGTACAGGATGACCCCTGGGCCAGGGAGAGCAGGGTCAGGGGGGTGCAGGGACCCCCAGCCACCCCCTGGCTCCCTCCGTCCCTGTGGTGTCCCCATGACACAGCAGTGATCCCAGCGTGGTCTGTCCCCATGCTGCCAGGATGGCACCCGCCAGGAGAGTGCGGCACGGCCGGGGCACATGGCACAGGATGGCCATGGGATGGGGACAGGGATGGGACCAGGATGGGACTGGGACACAGATGAGACAGGAACTGGGATGGGACCAGGGTGAGACTGGGATGGGAATGGGATGAGACTAGGATGGAGCCAGGAAGGGGTCAGAATGGGAGTGGGGTGGAATCACAGTGAGATCAATCAGAGATTAGGCAGGGATGGGGCAGGGATATCACAGTGAGATCAATCAGAGATTAGGCAGGGATGGGGCAGGGATTAGGCAGGGACTGGGAAGGGATTGGGGCAGGGATGGGTTCTTACCGCATGCCCAGATGTCCACAGGTTTGCCATAGGCCTCTTTGCGCAGGACCTCAGGGGACAGGTAACCGGGCGTGCCCGCGAATCCTGGGATGGGGACAGAGACGAGTGAGCCATGGCAGGCGGGGACAGGGAGGGGGCACAGGGCAGGACACGGGGGCACAGGACTGGGACATGGGCACGGGGTAGGGATGTGCTGGGCATGGGAGGATGTGGTGGGCACAGGGCAGGATGTTGTGGGCACAAGACACGGACATGGCGGGTATGGGACGGGGTTGTGGTGATGTCCTGGTTTCAGCTATGGTAGAGTTAATTTCTTCTCAGTAGCTGTTACAGTGCTGTGTTTTGTGGGCACGAGAGAATGCAGTGGGAACAGGGCAGGGACTCAGTGGATAAGGGACAGGGCAGGCGTGGGCAGAGACATGGTGGCCACAGAAGGGACACAG